TAAAAAGCCGTAGTCTACCCGTTCACTCGGATCTACTGAAGAGTTGTAGAGCCTCTTCGAAGACCACTGAGCCCCACGCGGCACTCACATTAAATCTCGGTCAGACTAGGCCAAGTGTGTCGCGTATTTGTCGTCAACTTGACCAGCCTTATAAAGGTGTCAGGCGCAGGTTCACAAGGCGCGAGACTCGAGTGGAGGAAGGACGCTTCGTGGGGACGCGGGGAGTCGTTCTAGATAGAGTGGCCGGAGGTGACAGTAGGTCACTCTGGGTGGCAGAGGACGAGAGTGAGATGTGACTAGAATCATCCAACTTTTCCTAAAGACTGAAAACAAAGCGTGAAGATCTCCGTCTCGCAAAACGAAAACTACATGACTGTTCTCGCTAGGCAATAAAGCGTAGTGGGCTCTTGTAAATTGAGGCATCTTTTCCGTACTTTTCTTTGATAGTGTGTGTGATGGCCATATGGCTGCATACGCGATTAAAATCTGATGCAAAAAGGCCTGGTGGCGCTAAACAAGGAACCCATAAACCCTGCCTTAGGCATCTCTCCAGAATCCTTACCAGAGGGCTCAGTTACATCGACTAAAGACTTGACGGTAATACAATAGCACCTACCTCATTCCCTTCCAACAAAGCGAGGGTAGGAGCTTACTCTGAGACATGAATTGGCCGTGCTAGTCCTCATAATTTCTAGGCCCTATTATTAGATGTGACTACAGCGAGATATGGCCTCATAGTCCCATGACGCACCAAAGCAGTTGTGGTCCAGCAGGTAGAGTATCTAGATGCCATTAGCACACAGCATAGGCGTGTGGTCATGCTATCACTTCGCTAGTCTCACCCCAAGATTTCTCTGGAGGTCGAGTGATCTTAGGAAGTACGCAAAAGACTTCCAAGGGGCCGTATTAGTAATTACGAGTCATGGAGGCGGGGTGACAGGATTGAAAATTGAAAATATCTTCGCTGGTACATGTTTATTCGTCGCTTGCAAGGTACGAGGCAAAAAGTGAGCTCCGCATGCCAATGGAGTTTAAGCGCGAGTGGGTCCAGGCAAGATCAGGTTAACTCTCATTGAGTACGCAAGCCTCGTCCCAATTCAAGCCTCACCCATGTGTTGAATTATGTCAAGTCTGAGCGTCTAGAAAAGCCGTTGTTTACGCGCCTCAGCGCAAATCTCTTTAGACTCGACCACAACACGCCCTGGCTTTTGTCAGACTTACTGTCTTTTTAGACGTTAGCTTGTCCTAGCCTAACAACTCCCAACACACCGTCAGATGGCTATCGTCATAGGGGATCTGAACCCCACCTAAAGATTTACAATTGCCCCATGAATCTTGTCTGTTTCCTTCCATATAGTCACAGCTTTTCACCGTGACTTCCCATGCTAGGGTGTGCATTGACGGAGATAGGTCGAAAGCCTAGAATTTGTGGGAAAAGTTTAGCCAAGAGTATTCGAGAACTTAATGTGCATCGTTTATTCAATTCTGATACCCAGGGAGACTGAAGTTGATCCGGGAATCACGTTTTGTCGGCGACGTGATTTTCTTCATGCCTTGTAGGTGCATTACATCCCACACGACTGACTTTTTTAGCATGACTTCTTGACACAGACAATCCATCGAATAGGTCCAAGTTCAAATCTATTCGGAATTGTGTTAGATCGAGTCCTACAGTACTTTGTATTCCTAGCTCCATCTCGGTTTGAGCTGTCAAAGGCCTGAGTGTCGACCAGTTCTTGAATAACTTCAGTGTATGCAGCTATACAGCCATAACAAACATCAAGTACTTTGTGTACATTGAGGATTGTTTTTTGAATCTAGAGACGTCCAAACACTGGATTTCATTCGCATGCACCACTGTGAGGTGTGTTTTTCAACGCTAAAAACTCAACCCTCCTCTATGGGTACCCTTCAAAATGACGTTTCAACCTCTTTGATCATCCAAGCACACCAGTGCTGCGAGAAATTTGAGTATGCTTTGCCAGATTCGTACCTTCCATCTCCTGTCCCAAATGGAATATTTGTCCAAGCTATTCATAATCTATTAGAAGACCGGCCCATATGATGTAAAATCTCAGTATCCAACACTGGCTATGTTGTGATGTCGCCTATACTCTTACAAAATAAGGCGTGTAGCGCACAATACTCTTCAATGTGAAATCTTTCCTTCTAAAATTCGAAATCTCGCATTCGTCAGGTTTGTATTGACCCTTTGCATCCTCTTGTAAACTTGTCCCGACTTCTCTCATATTCATCCCAAAGCCATACCTCCAATATTTGGGCACCAAGATTGTTATCTTCCTGCGGGTATTTTTATTCTCTTGAGCGTGTGCTTAGATGTTATCTCGTGCACGTAAATGAGTCGATGAGAGGTGTGTTTATAGACATGAGAATGTGCTAGATCATACTCGTAAAGTCGATTATGCTTTGGTAAGAATATATCTCCTTAGAAGTGATACATTCATTAAGTACTGAATATTGGATCATTGCCCAATGGGCCAACTTCTTCGGTGATACGATACTCGGTCGAGCTTAGCTCCAGGAGAATACTTCACTCCAGGGTTTCTAGACACTGTGAACTACTAGTCGATCAGTTCTCTTCAATACTGGTTTCCTAGAAAAAAGAGCACTAATTTCTCATCGTCTCACCGTACCCTCTATCTCTCTGACCAGCCCTTAACTCGCGCTCATGAGACAACCTCTGAGGAATATGTCACTAGAAAAAGGACTGTTAACGTCTCGTCAGACGCCGATCTAAGCCTCAGAACGCTCTTTCTTGAGCTTTGGAGTCCATCTAACTCTGGTATGTAGAGTAGTTAGCTTGGCCTTCCAGGCCTAGCACAAGTGGAATAAACGTGACCACGGTGCGATGAATTCAGCCTCGAAGACGTGCCGGCGCACCCAGGAATGACGAGATGTAGAGGGGCGCACAGTGGTGCTGACTCTTCCTCAGCGCATTATACTCCCTCTCATTTCCATGTCCCTCGTCCGCGTCGAGAGTCCACGGGCTAGAGTCACTCGAAGCCCATGCTGCTGGCATCATACTCTCTAGTAACGATTCCCCTCCTCATCGCCCAGAAGAGGAATCTTTCACAATACCTCTCGGAGATCGGCCTCTTGTGCATGATCCGGGGCCCTACTGATACGATTGGCGTATCGTTTGGAGGGCAAGAGGTGAGAAAGAGGGTCGCGCACGTCAAAGTCTACTCATTGGACGGTTTGATGCATTGTGGCCCCTGATAGCCTGAAAGATAAAAAGAAGACGGGAACGATGAGCTGGACCAAGCGCTTTCTATGTTGGCTGTAGAATGGTAATCCTCTTCATTTTCCCGTGGACGTCGCCCTCTACATTGCCTCGATTTGTTTAGTTATTTTTATTGTCTACCGGGCGAGAGCGAACGCTATTGTCCTAGCCCAGGGGTTACAGGGCGGCTATCACTGCATCGTTCTGTTGGGGCAAGACGAATGTCGTTGTGATCACGTGACTTGGGCCCCCGATTGGAGCAGCAGCACTAAAAGTGTCACGAGCGACTAGGCGCTGTCGGCTCAAACACTTGGCGCGCTAGATCGGCGGCCGTCACCGGATCTTCGTATGACGGGGTGTAAGCCTGCGCTGCAAGTGTTTGGCCTGCCGCAAGATTAGCGATGTTCTTCGTGATGCGGCTTCGCCAGAGCCAGCACGTAGAGCATCGTCGTCATGGCTGAGGCGGTTCCGAACTTGCACTGATGGGCGGTGGTGGAAGGTTCGCTAAATGGGAACACACAATTAAATAAATTATCCATAATCCTGATCTGGCGCCATGAGGCCCATGCAGCTTTTGATCGGAAGATGTGCATTTCAAGTAGGATGACTGAATTTGATGTTTTGAACACTCAGCCTCAGATTTCATGTGCATCTACCACTCGAGGTTAACCCTTGCGGCGTACAACCTCTTCCGTGCATACCCACCCCAGAGAAAAGTGTCAAAAACCTATAGCTATCCGAGTGTGCTTTCATCATCCCACAAGTACAGTAACACCGCGAGAGAGTGTGGTGTGTGAGTTTTACTGGATTCGAACCACTTTTCTGTCACAAATGGGATAGGTGTTCAAGCTACCCATTAAGTACTTGGGAGAACGGTCCGCATTGTGCACCACTGCACCATCCAACCCGTAGAACATACAATAGACGCAGAGGCTGCATTCGATACATTTTGCATGCGGCTTCCTCCACCCAGGCCGTGTGGCCGAGTCTCAGCGCCGCCCCTTTCCGGCAGAATTCGAAACCCCATGTAAGGCAAAATTGGAATTGGGTGAATTTCCTCTCTGACATTGAGTTCATCGAGTTCCTCCGCAATTAAGAATCTATTTAGGTCCTAGAAACATACCGAGAGTATTCTTACGATTACGACCAAATCTAAATAGAGTGTGATTATTAGAATTTTTTGCGCCGAATACTCGTATTTGCGTTCTATATACGTCTTCAAAATTGGCAATGTTTATTCTATGAATGACGAGCTGCAGGTGGAAAACATTATCATATATAGCAAGAAATGCGATATGATAGGAAATTTAATTCCTCAATTGTAACGACAAAATATAGATACAGATGATAGTGGAGTTATGCACATAAGATTGACTATCCATCTAATTTCTGGCTGTAAAATGTTCATGACTAGACCATGTCCCGTGATGCATGAGATTCGCATGTAAATTATTCAGTTAAAACACTGTGATACTATAATTTAATGCGGGATAATCTATTCGATACCTCATGACCCGTAAGTCTTATATACATCCATTGACGAGAAGAGCGATGGGAGCAGAGAGTCATCGCATTCTCCTCACCTCACTGTCCCGACTGGCTCGGGCTGCTGACTGCTATTACAACTTCCTACCTCCAGCCCATCTGCTTGAAAAAATATAGCCACACTTCGCCAGATGTCCCAAGTAGCGAATTGAATAGAAACATGAACTGTAGACACCATCAATCATAAAGATAAGAAAAACAACAGTCAGGGTTAGAGTTTCGTCACGATGTCGCGTGAGAGTGAATCGCTGCGACGGCGAGAGAAAGGCGAATGACGGCTAGATTCTACCGCTTCAGATGCCCCTTCACCCATCGAGCTACCGCTACCGCTTCCACTGCTACTGCTGCCACCCACGCGTTTCCCGTTTTCGCGGATCCGAAATGCCATGAGCCAACGAATATGCATGCTGGCTGTCTGCTGCAAGCTACGTATTTCGGCAAGCTCGTTCTTGATCGGGATAGTCTCGTTGAAAAGCATGGTTGTCTGCTTCGCTTCAAGCTCCGTCATTCCGGCAGACAGCTGGCTCAGCTTGCTCTCCTGATACTCCAAGAGAGATAAGAGATACTCGTGTCCAGAATTGAGGGGCTCTGTAGAAACTGCACCCATGACTGCTGGGGATGTTGAGCTCGTGAGATCAGCGTCGTCTAGAAAGCCATCCATTTGCCGACTGCCCGACTCGAGAAATTTGATGCGCCGGTCTTGCAGCTGATTGGCTTCAGTGAGAGTGCGGACATGGGCGCGCAGGTCGCTGATTTCTTTGATGAATTTGTCGCCCATCTTGCCCATGTGACGAAAGCTGCACGACTCATCGTGCTGTGAGAGCTCCCTCCGAAGGCTCTGATGTGGACAGCCATATTCTACCCAACGACACGGGCCTGGTGCGTCAGGACATTCGTTGGCGTGCTCGACCTCTCGAAAGCGCAAAGTTTCTAGGCCACAATACTGACATTTCGTGTAACGAGCTTTGCACGAGTATTCTTGATGATGTGGGAGATCAATCTGCCAAAGAGCTTCCTCGCAATGGGGGCAATTGGTCGAGTAATGTAGACAGCCTTGCTCAGCCAATTTCCTCGGAATCTGATGTGAACACTTTTTGTTCGTATTAATGCCGGGACAACGAATAGACGACTCGGGGCAGTATTTTGAGAGATGGTTTTCAAGCATGGAGCGAGAGATGGGTGCCGCACAGCATGGACAGATGACCTTGAGATTATCCACTTGATTCTTAATGATCTTGGGGGCTGGGCTCAGGTCGAGCTCGTGGTTCAGGGCTAATCGATCGATGGGACAACTGAGGCTGTGGCAAAGAGCGTCATGCAGGCACTCGGAACAGAAGGTGTGTTGACAGGTCGTCGAGAGGGGGTCGACAAAGGCACAACGACAGATGGCGCACATTAGATTTTCATCGATCGCATCGGCATAAGTGATGGCTCGGAAGTCAACAGTATGTGCCAAGTTCAAGGTAATTTTGCTCGGGGGCGAGGGTCGAGGAGATCGAGTGTAATCGCTCGACGGACTGTTCGGGGGAGCGAGACGCCCCGAGGCCGATTGACACGAGGGATCCGTTGTCTCTCCCTCTGCCCGAATCGAGGCGTCTTCTACCCGATAGGGTAAAGGTGTTCGAAGTGAGATGGTGTTTGGTCGCGACATTAACTTTTTCTAATGGCCACCGCTGTCGGTTGGCACGAGGTGCCTTGGGCCTGAGGCGGCTTACGGCACGTGAGGCCAGAGTGCACAGATTGTGGGGTCGGCGAGAGAGGCTACTGTCCGGTTGAGGTGTTCGGGAAGGGAGCTCAGCGAGCCTGTCAATGAAAGCCACCTGCACCTCAGCCAGCCTCAGCCTCGTCAGTAGCCGCCTTGATTACGTCTCACGTCTGTCCCCACCGAGTATCAGCGGCGAATGATAATATCTCATCCTCAACCCTTCACAAACCGAGTCCGTCACAGATTCCACAGCAAATTTCAGCAGCAGAAGCAGATTCTAAACTGGAAGCAGAGGCAGAGGCAAAAGTAGAAAGAAGGGCGGATTTAACGACACCTGCGTCAGCACCTGCATCACATTGGAGTGTCTGCTCCTAACGACAGTAGACCATGGCCTATCTAAATCAGTACTGCCTCCTAGCTGATCATATAAAGCTCTCCCTGCTAGAGAGGCGTCGAGCCACGTCACTGAATCTTGTAGCAACATCACAAGATAGCCACATCTCCTGCTCTTTGGATGCGCTTCGTGAGGGCCTGGCAAAAATCAGTCAAGAGGCTACAAGACTAATGGATGCGGGTGATATTAAGTACGGGGCACTCACTTGGTCTTTGCATTCACAAAGCCACGACTGACCAAATCACCAGTGCCGCTCATAACCATCAAGAAATTGTGAAAGGTTTACAGGCCAAGTACGATGATCTGACGGCGCAATTTCATGGCAACGAAGCTAGCCAGCTTACTACATCGGCTTCCCCTCCCAGAAACACCAAGTCTTCTATCGATAATTCTCAACGCTCATCCGAGCCAAAGCGTGATGGCACGACATCTTCTTCCCTCAAGGGATCCCTCAGACACAGTCCTCTCGCAGCCAATCTTCCCAAGTCAGTCCGTTTCTCCGATGCAGACCTTGTGGCCGAAGCCTATCCTTCTTACGCATACCGAGATGATCCTGCATCACCCGATGCCTCGCACATGGATAACCAACAAATACACGCACATCACACGCGGGTTCTTGCCCAGCAAGACGAGACTCTTCATCAGCTCGGTCAATCAATCGGAAGACAGCGAGAGCTGAGCATACAAATTGGAGAGGAGTTGGATGAACATGCCCTGATGTTGGAACATGTCGATCGACATGTTGATCGACATCAGACGAGGTTAAATCAATCAATGAAGAGCTTGGGCAAAGTAGCACGTAGCGCCAGAAATAATATGCAGCTAACCATCATTGTTGTTCTCATTGCAATACTGGCTTTGCTAATCGTCTTTCTCAACTAAGCGCTGCCCAGCCGCAACAGTACACCCTGTAAAATTATACCATAGTTCCTGGAGTTTGTAGTCGTAGGTCGGGGGAGGGAAGTTTGAAGCATAGCCTAATAATACCAAGTTGATATTGATATCTTTCTCTGCACTATTCTACGTGTGCTTAGAAACCTGATCCTTGACTGGTTCCGCTCCTGCGAGCCATTTAATTAGCTGGCCGGTGCTCACGAGTCGCTACCTCACTCACTTTGTCTTCTCCTCAGCAATGTGGACCGTCTGCTTCTGCAATTCGTCCATCGTCTTGCTGCTACGGTGTCGTTCTGCAAAAATCTGCCCAGAGCCTTCAGCGCGGACTATAGGAGCTTGGGAGGACCAAGTAGGTGAGGCCAGAATCTCACCACTTCCTCGCTTTCACTCGCCAACTCAGGCTTCCAATGACCTAGGCCCTTCTGTTGTTTTTCCAACCCATCTTGCTTGTGCTTAGCGTTTTCCACGCCTTGTTCCGGGTCATCTATGCGTCAAGTCAGACGAGTCATAAGAGTCACGTGAATTCTATCTGTCTGCCGTCGATAATAGTCATCAACGACTCTACCCATGGAGGAATTGTTTCTTACGAGTGTTGCCCTCCTTTAGGTTCTGGCGTCCTGAGGCCATCAAGGTCCTCTGAAACGGCGGAATGCGAGCTGGAACCAGCCAGAGTAAGGCTCGGATGAGAGACATGTCGGTGGTGTTGTTTCGCATGTCTAGGTGGGGAAACGAATTAGTAGCAGTGGTAACTTAGAGAAGAAAAGATAGCTGGGTACTTGAGAAGACGAAAATGGGAGTCCGAACAATCTTTATCGACAGGTGAAGCCCTATCTACGTCAGTGGCTGTAGCTAGCGGCATCATGGGTACACCAAAACAAGACGAGCTAGAGCTTGTGGCAGGTGCAATACAAAGGCAAATTCAAAATGGATTTCACAGATGGGAGAGAGTTATGAGAGTGAGAGGATGGAGTACTACTACTGACTAGGTATTTCCAATTGAATCCAACAGTCCAAAATCAGCCCACGCCCGGTATCATAATCATGAATCCATTTTCAAGAGACACGCCCAACCTGCATCAGACGTACGCGTTCCCTATTGTACCGTCGATTGCCCACGCCGACCCCCTATAGAGCGGCACATTGGCCCACTTAAACACCAGAAACACAAAAATCAACAGAACGTGCTCACACGCATTATTCTTATCAACACCGACCAAGCCACGCGCCGAAAACTACCCAAAAGAGGTATATCCTTGCCCTTTCGTGCAACCATAGTTGAAACAAACACCGCCACGCACCATAACCTTTATAAAATCATTTTTAAATATTGCCTCGCCGTATTCATGGATATGCGTCTTACGACTGGAAGTCGCCGTATATAATCAAAGCTCTAGAGCGTTCGTAAAGCAGTGACTGGGTTGAAGTCTTGGTGGAGGTCTTCCGAATCAATCACCTGATCGGTCACAACAATCGTTATTATGGCAAAAAAATTGGTAAGATGAAATGGAAGAATTTGTACAGAGTAATCCTTGAGATGAAATTCGTTGAGCCGGGTAGGGTCGTCAGGTAGAGAAATAAAGTGTGATTCGACATGGCCACGGAAAGAGGGAGCAGGATTGGCAAAGTGGAAAGGCCGGGTGGGCACCTACCACGGGCGACCAAAGGGCTGCGGCTGTCGATCTGGAGAAGGAGTCGAATCAATCCTAGAGCTTGGATTGACAATGAGAATTGCGTTGCGTGTGCGACCAGAGCCTACTTGATTCGACTTGAGATTAGAGGACTGTGCACGGTACGGCGCAGGAATGTAAGGAGTTGGCGATGGATTTAGATGAAAGGTAGAGGGTGAGACTTGGTGAGATTGAGGAGAAGAGCCGGGCGATTCGCTCGAGAGAGATGAACGATCCGACGAGGCTGAGTTGATGGAAAACATGTCAATGTCGGTGACCAGACTGGGGCAGAATTCCAAGTCGTCGTCTAGGTCGAATGAGCGGCCCGCCTCAAAGCGTTGGCGAAAGCTGGTTACGATGATAGGCTCTTCTTCCTTGCGTGCAGAGCGGTATGACTGCTTTTGAGAGTTCTGCAAGGGACGAGTTGCGCGACGACTACGACTAGTGGCATGAGGCGACAAGGTGGATTGATTGTGAGGCACCGAGTGCTGATAATTGTTATACTGGTAGTATGATGCCATGCCGACAAAGTGGTGTGAGAGGGGACAGGCGAGTAATTAATGTGAACTAAGTACAAATGCGAGGGGAGTGACCGGCTAGGGAGTAGCGAGGCGAAATTGACAGCGCAGAGCCGTTTGTGAAGGGAAATGGTTCAGAGAGACTGATGCGGTTGCAAAAGTTGGGGGAAGAGATGGTGGAATGGATGATGGTATTGGTGTTGGTGATGGTGTTGTAAGTGAGGTGGAGGAAATATACGACGAGAAGAAATTTAGAGGGGGATGACCTCGATAGATGGGAGGGGGGAAGGGACGGATGTAGATAGTTGAGGGGAAGGAAGTCCGGGAGGGCTGACCAGGGGTAAGTGCTCGGACCATCAGGAATCCAGGCGCTAGAGCCGGAAGAGGACGTGGCTCATGTCGGCTACAGGCCAATTGACTGTGTTGAGAGGCGCTGCCGGAATGGCAGAGCGGCGTAGTTGTCATGGACGGGGCCTCCCCAATTAGGAAGGTTCCCCTCGCGCGCTCATTTGGGTCAGGGGCTGCTGGCGCTGGACTAGATGCAGGCGTCTTACTTGGCCCATGAGCGGCTTTTAAGATTAAAAGCAATTTCTGGGGTCGGGGCCGGCGATAGGTGAAGGGATGACCCCGAGAGGCGGCGTGTGATTAGAAAGTGGCGACGTGGGCGGAGGAGAGCAAGATGGGGCGACGGTAGGGCCGAGCGAGGCTGGTCACGAGGCTGGTCACGAGGCTGGGAGTGACAGGATGAGGACATGGTGACGACAACGCTGGCCCCTTCTGCCGCCCGCCCGGCACTGGCTCGGGAGGTGAGGGACAGAGAGCATATGGCCGACTCCGTCTCTGGTACCGCCCTCTGCAAGCATGGAGTGGCTGAGGCAGGACAGGTATGTGTGCGGCGCCGTACGCAGGTGAAAAGGGCCGGGGAGCGAATGAGCAAAGAACTTACCATCGAGCGGCGGTCACATCGGCCGACACCGCCTCGACGCAGCATGGCATGGAGGCGTGAACGACCTCGGCCATGCGGGCGCGCGCAAACCCTAAAAAGCCCGAAAGCGAGATATCTGGGCGACAAAGTAGGGTCTGTGTGATGTGCTGGCAGCGAGCGGCGGCGACAGTCAGGATGCCATGCTCTGCGGACAAGAATGTCGTGCGCGGCCGTTGGGGCGTCGGGGCAAAGCGAGTGGAACGAAGGATGCGCCTCGTCTGGCTGGCCCGGCCACGACACGCGCAGCTCCGTCGCCCGTCAGACGAGTTTCAGGGCGTCGCTCTCCCAAACTCTGGCACCCGGCGGCCCATTGTCAGTCGCCGGGCCAGGCAAAAGAGAAACTTGGTCGTCGAAGCTGTCACGCGACGAGCCAGACCTGACGGGCGCCGGGTCGAGCGAGGAGGATGTGCAGAGATGAAGCTGGTGCTGGTAACTTAATGAATTAGTGTTGGTATTGCTGCTATTCCTATTATTACTACTGCTGTTTCTACTGTCGCTACTGCCACTGCTGGCTCTCTCGAAGCTGACTATGCCACGTCCTTGGCATGGTTGAACCGAGCAGATTATCGGCCACAGAGGCAGACAGCGCCCGCTGCGAGACGGGACGAGCTATGAAACTCACCGTTGCCCTGCCCTCTCATTTCCCGCCGGCCAACTGTATCGCAGATTCCGAGCCGCCTCTGCTCCTGGGCCCGACTCGCCCTGGCCCTACCTTCTCACCGTCTCATCCGTCGCAGCCTGAGACGTGGAATTACTCCCATCGCTCCAGATCCCGCCAGCCACCGTCTTTCCCCATTCCTTTCTCGGCCTAGCCTGCCTCGCCACCCTTTTCTCTCCCCGGCGCCCCATTTATTCGCGCCGGCCCCACCGAGCCCCTGTCCTCTACCCATCCTAACTTAGTTCCCTACCACGACTCCATCTACCATTCCAGCCTCAGGCAGAATAGTGAATGATGAGTGGAGGCCTGGAAACTTCTGTCTGGCCTGATTATTTTCTTCTTTTTCTTCGGCTCATTTCATGATGCGTTGCGTTTCATGGCACCTTCCTCCACCCTCAAACCCCTCCTCCACATCCTGCAACTCACTACTCATCCTCCCCCATAATATGTCATGAAAATTTTTGTGGTGTCTTACCTCTGTTAAATCCATAGCCGCTCTAGCTATGACCAGTCACATTGTTACTCGTGCGAGTCATTCCTATCTATGCACCATTGCTGCACCTTTCTCTCATCCCGTAGTTGTTGCTCCGCGGCTCATAAAAAATGACAATGTCGAAAGGGAGCAGCCAAAGTCCAGCACCGAAAACGTCCACCGTCTGCTTCATGACATCTCTGACCATTATTTCCCCCCAGTTCAAGTCCCTTCGTCTCATCACTCCGATTCATATTATTCGCCTACCTTGCTTATAACCTTCTCGAATAATCTCTAATCTTCCCATGTATAGTATCTGGGTATTCCTCAGGCTATCTCTTGATTTACCAGTACTGGATACTATCAGTGTCCTGCTCGAGTTACCGAAGAAAAGATGACAGCCGATCTCTTTCCATCATTCTCGTCCTCATGGTAATAGAGTCGAGAATATTATGTCATGCAATCATGCCAAACATCCGTCTTCAGCAATCGTCCAGCTTTCCATCTCACCACTCCAATGAGTACGCCTGATGCCCATACCCGTCAGAGATGCCTGTAAACGCTTCAGTTGTGCTCGAAGTTTGAGTTGTTCCCTCAAACCATCGGCCCGCTTACTTGTCGAGCCCTCGAGCCTTAACGAATCGGTTAATCTGCTCCCTCGTAAGCTTTTCATTATATTGTTCATGAAATTCGTAGAAAGAGATCATCTCCTGAGTACAATCGATAATGTCTTCAATATTTACATCACTCTCTGCCAGCCAGCTGACAAGTCGGGCCAGCTTGTTTCGACCGCCACCAGAATTCTTATCGCCGTCAAGCTTCTCCTGCTTCACAGTCTTTAGGATTCCATTTGCAGCGTTAGCCAGATTTCCACTCCCGTACGCTGGACCACCTGCTGAAGGACGAAGAACGAGCGCAAGGAGGATCGCTACCACTGCTACTGTATGTGGGGCAAACATCAAGGGAAGATCGGTCATATAGTGATCATTAACGATGGTCCAGGCCAGCGTGGATTCGTCTTGGCTGAGGGAAAAGGTTCCCTGGAGAGAGTTGAGGCTTCGGTAGGGGTGATGAATGATCATTTGAGAAGTCATTTCAGATATGAGAAAGAATTCGCATTCCCCCAACTTCGACGTATCGTTACTAAAGTATTCTGCAAGACACTTCTTAGACGGCCAAACTCAAGGAGGGGGCCATTCCACCTACCCGGCCACAGTGTACGTCCCTCACTGACAACTAGTCTAATGTGATGCGGGCATTCTTCCATCTTGCAGGCTAAATACGTAGCGGTTGCAATCACTAAATATGGATTGGTACATCGAATCTCGACCTTACAGTAAAAACGGCGGATATACAGTTGTGCCGTGGCCATGGCTTGTTGGCGAATACCCAGCCGCTTTCCGAGGCGGATTACTTCTACCAGTCAAGCGTCAGTTACTTAGTGCTACACATAGGCGTGGAAGCAGAGGGTGCTTACGCTGATTGAAGTAGATGCTGAGGTGTCGCATTTCGGGCAACGGGTATATCTGCACAAGTTTGGGTTCCTTATCTTCCAGATTTTTGCGTAGCTGCTGAAGTTGAGGTCGCGTAAACTTCCAGTGTCGCCGCTGCGTAGATTCCCAATAGTTTGCGGCCATGTCATTGCCAGTCTTTGGTATGACTGATGTTGGTGCTTGATAGCTTTGTATCGTGATTTCGCCCGTAGCGTGGCATATCGGTTGCTCAAGCGAAATTTTGGGCCTCATAGACAACCTCGTCCCATATCCTGTCCCGGCCCAAGAAGACGACTGTCAGCCAGTTGTTGGCTCTAAACCACCAGAACTTCTCTTCATTAGCCTTCTAGATCCCTCACACCATCTGGACCACGCACAGTTTGAGCGCAACCAAACCTATCTCACCCCGTCTCTCTTCAGAACATGAATCATCAGAGGCATTCCTCAACACCACCATGAAAGTGTCTTCCGAAGACCCGAGCGCGCGCAACCACCCCTTACAATTATTGTGGCGAAGGCTAGATCCCTCAAACCGGCATGAGCTCAGCTTAAGTGACCTTAAAAGAAGCCTGACGCACATTGACCACCGTATGTTATTTCATCCGCGTCTGACACTTGCTGACCGACGTTCTGATCACCGTAGCTCTTAAAAATGCCGACACATTGCTGAAAGATACATTCTTAGCTATTGACCGAAATGAAGATGAAAAGATCCAGTATGAAGGTGTGATATATCCCTTTGGATTCGTCCTCCACCCTCAACTGAACCCACCATGCTGAATTACACATCGCCCTAGAGTTTCGCTCTTTCGCCGAAATAGCCGAGAAACCACTCTACATGTTATTTCAGTCTATCGATCGTGATCAAGACGGAAGGCTCTGTCGAAAAGACGTAGAAAATGCTTGTATTATGGCCGGACTTTCACTTCCAAATTCAAATCTGGACCATCTCTTCGCCAAGCTAGATCAAGATGGCAACGTAGGTCTAACCCGCAGAGTAGCTGCCTAAACGTCCTAACCTCCACCCTAGGGATACATTGATTTTTCTGAGTGGCGGTATGTGTAGAATTTCTACGTGTCTTTTCTACAAAGTGGAGGCCACCCTAGGCGACGCCTGGCCTGGGTCAAATCCAAGTGGACGTCCTAAACCTCAATGATATACTTGACTTCTCACACCAAAAAAGCCCCAGTATCTGATAATTTCCAGAGAATTCCTCCTCTTTGCCCCCACTTATACGCAGGTAAGCATCAAGACGGTTCTGTCGCTTCTCAACTCGGTCGCCATGTCCAAGGATGAGACGCACACCGTGCCGCCGCAGAAAAATTCGAAAGGACGTGATAGCCTCTCGCTCATCTCCAAGATCTTCTACGGTGCCCTTTCAAAGATAGTAGAGCGCCCAGCCGCCTCCCCACGCACCTTCGGCAGGACAAACCCTTTGCAGGCGACAGCCAACCATCTTTCTGTCTCAGAAAATGATTGCTGCCCCTCACCTGAGCCAAGCACCACCATCATTGATAATGCTTGCGCATCCACGACAAAAAGTATGAGTCTGCTCTCGGATATTTTGCCGCCCCCTGGATACTACATATCCGGGGCTGCTGCCGGAGTGCTCTCGAGAACCTTCACGGCACCACTCGACCGTATCAAGGTCTACTTAATCGCAGACGTTAGCCCATCTAACGAACCCCGCCTATCTCTCAAGGAAACACTGTCGCTCAAATCAACGAGGAGAATTGGTCAGCCACTTATCGATGCATGTAAAATCATATGGAGGTCGGGAGGTCTTGGCAGCTTTTTCGCAGGTACGTCAAGTATTTTGAACGAAATTCATCTTGATTTAATTCAACCAAGGAAACGGCCTCAATGTAGTGAAAGTCATGCCCGAATCCGGGATCAAATTTGGCTCTTTTGAAACAGCCAAACGGACGTTTGCTCGCTTCGAGGGCCACGGCGAGCCCCAGAAAATCAGACCCTTGTCCAACTTCATTTGTGGTGGTATAGCCGGTGGAATCTCACAGTAAGGCTCCCATCCCGACTAAATATCATCATACTCATACTGTAACCGACTGTTCGTGTATCCCATAGACACTTTGAAATTTCGGTAAGTCAAATGTGACGTTAAGACCACCAACAAATCCAGCTAAGCGTAGCAGGATGCAATGTGAAACAATCCAAGGTGGCATGCATGGCAACAAACTAATCATGGCTACGGCAAAGAAAATGTACACACAGGGCGCAATCCAAACAGCTTACCGTGGTCTAGCCATGGGTCTGGTGGGTATATTTCCATATGCCGCCATTGATCTCGGAACGTTTGAGTATCTCAAGAAGGAAATTACCCAACGTAACATTCGAGTCCGCGGTTGTAGCGAGGAAGAAGCTGTGCCGAGCTCTCTCACCCTCGGCTTTGTTGGAGCGGTATCAGGAACTTTTGGGGCGAGCATTGTTTACCCTATCAATGTTGTACGAACGCGCCTTCAGGCCCAGGGAACAGCTCTCCATCCACCAACTTACACTGGCGTTTGGGATGTGACCCGTAAAACTATTGAAAGTCAAGGCTTGAAGGGTTTGTTCAAAGGCATCACTCCAAATCTCCTTAAAGTTGTACCAGCAGTCAGCATCACGTACATGGTTTACGAAAGCAGCAAAAAAGTCCTCCACCTTCAATAAAAGATTTAGGAGGATTGAATCAGCTGGGCTTATTCAAGTTCGATTCAGAGACTGGTTGAGCACGGGTTCTAAGTAACTAACACTCTAACTGGAAAGACAACAAGATTGCTTGAGCCCAGTCCTAGCTATCTCTAAATTGGTGAGCCATTTTGTTTGGGTTACGCTTGGGGAATCATATATCCTATCACCATGATAGGATAATTGGGGTTGTTCGTTGTTTGCAGCGTATATCGTTGAGCTTATGGGAGGGGTAGTTAATGGCGTTCAAGGAAGTTTACAAGCTCGTACAGGAAGGAGACGAAGCACGAAGTCAAGGTTCGGATGGGGAAAAAGTTTTTCAGAATGAGAAGGCAGAGACGGGAATTGCTAGGCGACTTCGCGTTCCGAGAAGGCGAGCGCAATGGAGGAAAGAGGGTTACGAGAATTAGGGCCGACGGGGCGTGAAGAGCAATTGTACCACCTGAACTTGATATCATCTTGTGGCTCGGGGCCCCGTTGGCTGACTATTTTATCTGCAAGTACTTGTGTACTAACCTGGTAAGTTTGGAGGGTGGAAGACACAACGAGGTGAAGCGAAAACTCGGTTTGAGCAGAGACCTGTGGGAAATTTTATTAACTGAATCGGGAGCTGCCATTGCTCGTATCTGGCAGAAATTCGTCAGAGAAGCTGAGTGATATTAACCTTCACTAGCCAATGTAGCTAGCCGGTCGTGCTCTTGCAATGGCCTGGCGCGAGAGTTAGTCGACGTAGGACATGAATGGCCCCGCGTGCATCCTCAGAGAGACATTGGCCAGGCTCCTTGTCTTCAGGGCACCAATCGTGGCATATGATTCGATCGTCGGCACCCGCAGCAAGTGTTTCCTCTACAAAAAAAGCACACAACGCTAGACCTCTCTGGCCTGAGGATCGAAATTCTATAGGACGCGTGACCAACAATTCCACCAATCACACGGACAGGATTATTGAGCGGACCAAATGCTTTGCCTCTTACCTGCCCTGTGCTCGTCCCCGTGGGCTCGCCAGAATGCAGAAGTGCCCAAGTCACGTGATGTAATTGAATGGCGAGATCCCCTTTAATGACGCAGCCACACCGAGCGCAATGTCTTGCGCCGACGGCTCGTTAAACGTTATCGGCATCCGGGCATCTCTGAGGCCGCTGACGTCCTGGATGATACTTTTCTGACTTAAAACTAAGGGTTGTTTAAAATTCCTTAGGATGGATCCTCGTCGACGAAGGCTCACTGCACTGTGGAAATAGTACTGCCTGAGTGGTAATTGGGAGTGACATGCAGAGCATATGTACCGAATGTTTCAAGTCCCATTTAACCTGACCACATGACGCTGATCATGTAGCACAGCCAGACGGTCGGACACAAAATCAAGATCGATTTCGCCGGCAGTAGGATTATTCGAAAATAAAAATTATCCACTCCATCGAAGTTTAGGTGAACAAGCTACTGGAAGCGAGAGCCAGATTTGTGCTGGTGAAGACTTGCTCTTTGATCGTCGCTCTAGCTGCTAGAGCTCGGCCGAAAGCTACAACGGATGTCGCACACTTGGCCAGCTACAACCTGACTACACACAGCATGAGTGCAGTAAGATTCGGGTGCAGAAAGAGCGGGCTGATCTAGCCGACTTCTGCAAATTTGAGGGCCTAGATCAGCGTAGCAGGAGGCCGACAATAATGGTAAAGTTCTCATCGCATCAGAGACAACATCTGGCACGGCTAGTGTGAGCAGAGGCACCTGGTCCTAGAAGACTCGTGAAGGGTGATTGCGGCCAATAGGCGGGTAGGGCAAGCCAATGTCTCCGAGATCTGTCGCTCACTCGTCATTGAAAATATGTCATTCTGACCGTGCTTTAGGTTGATCAGAGAGAATATTGCACGACCTCGGACCACACGAGCCATCATCCTTGCACCTCTCTATGTGCGGTGAGAAATGAACATACTACGCCAGAGGCCAGTGGAAAAAAAGATAACAAGGGGTAGCGGCGAAGCTAGGGGATAGATGCATCAGCAGTCCGAACTGAGTGAGCTGTAGAGAATATACTGTTGCCATTACCTCAGGCTGTCTTCCTCTATCTCTCCCAAGTTCAATTGCAAGGCTAAAACGTCACAACCGGTTCCATTTCGTCACTGAAATTTGCTTCGGGCTCCAAGTTTCCTATCTCGGCAAATCGGCCGGGCTATCAAAGGACTCGGTTCTTATCGAAAGGATGATCTGTGTTCAGAGTCAACAGCCGAAGCTAGCAAGCGAATGGCGAGTCATCAGAAGAGATCAACACATGATCAGGGCTAGTTATAGATAGTCTTGGGGACTGTAGGCAGGCGCATGCGATATGCTTCGTTGCCGTCATCAGCCAATCTTGCAGTCCGAAAGACCTTCTGTCCGGGATCCCCGGGAATAAGAGAGTTGAGTAGATGCAGATAATAACGGTATCCCTATGCCACAGCCCGAAAGAACGATGATACGCAGTCGAATTGAGCCCATTCAAAGCATCTTGCCCGTAAGACAACCACTGGGGCCGACAGTCATGTATGTCTGGCCTGGCCCGGCAATTTAAGGGGGAGGATGAGGCAATTCTAATAGTTGAGGGCCCCAAAAAATAGCGAGCATTCATCTACACGTCTGCAGACATAAGTCCTAAAATCTGATGCAAAAAAAAAAAAAAAAAAAAAAAAAAAAGACATAAGTCTTAGTTACACGCTTTTGGGCTGTGTCGTGGGCACTGTCCCCTTCAGCGACGATCTAGGCTAGACTCTGTAACGTGCTTCTCTAACATCCTATGTGGGGTACGTCGCTTAGATGCTAGGCTGGCCTATTCAGAGGTCATTGCACTAGCCAGGATATTCAGTTGAACCTAAGACAGAAATTGGCCATGGAGTAGAAAGTCTACATAACAATTATCTCATTTTGTTGTCCTATCTGGCTCTATGCCTATGTAGGACATGTAAGTCTTTTCTGTGTACAGGCCAAGGATACCAATGCCAGTAGTTTATGCCGTCCCATGCCCTCCATACATCTCCCCTCAAACAGTATCACCCCTTAAAAGTCCTCGATAAATCATCCACTTATAGGTATCCTTTGCCCTTCATTATCTCCCCTCTCCATCTAATGAAACGATGGCCATTTGCGGGAGTGTGGAAGCTGGGAAAAATCGCAAAAACCACTTGATGCAAAACTTTTCTAATACCAATATTAGGACTAGATCTGAAGACATGGTGACCCTACTGAAGCGTTTGAAGAGATCGATCAGCTGGGCGCTATAGACTTGTGTGTACCTCGGGATATTCTTCCTCAAGTCGTTTGTCCCATTATAGCAACGGCCCCCACAAGCCAGGACCAAGCCTTTATATTTCTCGATTTAATTTCCTCCTTGCGGGTATAAATAGTATAGTGGATTTGTAGTGAGAGATGGCTGGTAATTAATGGGGAAAACTCCCAATAGCAGTTGGAGCAACTCCTTTGTGGGTAGTTGAGAGCTCAGATGAGAATGATAAGAGAGGCGTAATCGAGAGGTCGTCAAATAGCAACGTGCTTAAAACTGCTTTCGACTTCGATTCCGTTGTGATTCTTGGCTATCCCAGATATACTGAGCATACTGAGCGATTACACCGACAACACTGGAAGGTGTGAAGAATTCCTCTTTGCCGACTAGGAGAGACTTTAGATCACATGGAAACCTAGTGTAAATGACTCGCCAACTTCAAGTATTTCGAAAGGTAGCTCGGCCTCTGACTTTGGCTCAGGTTTATATCTGAGGAATCCGGTACTCGGTGGTTTGGGAACGTCTCCGGCGCATATACACGCGCAAAGAGCCATTATTTTGTTGTAGGAAAGGGTAGATGAAGAAGGAATATGTACAGTGTGAGATGGACTGAGTAATAAAATGTGAGACTGCAAAGTCGAATAAGATACGTGGGCCTCTTGGGTGAGAGCATGTGCTAAGGCACACGGGTCCTCGACTAGTGTGTGTGTTTAGTTTATTGCTTGAGTCACAGACTATCTAGCACATTGGGCTCCTCTCTGACCCAGGCCACACCTTGTACAGTGCTCCGATCCTCTTTTGTTCCTTGAAAGATCATTGATACATTCCCCGTGATGAATAGCCACTCAGCTCAGTGTTTACGCGTGGAATTCGGCCACCTTTTTCACGAAACCTTCTACCCAAAAAAATAAAAATGGTAGCAATGGAAACTGCGTGCGCGGGAAAAGTCTCAGAAAACCTACAGCCCCCGCCAGGCGAGGCCTAGACACCGGGACCACATGAGGTGCGCATATTCATCAATATCTCCCTTGTCTGTAATGGTCGAGGCCGACTCGATCCAATCCGCCGTCTCCCTATCGAGTGCTAAGTCGCCTTTTAAACTTGCCCCGATCCGTCTCGCGCCCATTTTAAACTGCCTCTCAGATTTGTGCGCCACGCTTTGTTTCCTCCGTCGGGTGTGAATATCGGCGTGGGCGTGTATGTGGTGGTTGACTGAGGCGAGAGAAATTCGAAGCGAGGGGTGATCATTGGAATGAGTATGTACTTGATCGTACTTGTAGACTTGATGAGGTTTTGGTGGGCATTAATCTCGTTGGGCAGAAGGAATTGATTCGGTAGAGAGTCTTGAATCATTGCCTCATGGTCCAACTTGTTCGGGAGTGCAGATTTGACTGGAGTTGACTCCGGGACAATATTTCACTACCAGATTCGTATATGGCACCGCGTGCAGGTGGTCAGACTTGCCCTCCGAGGTAAGTTGTCGCTGGGCTGGTTGTGTGAGATTGGCAATCAATGCCGGGTTCCCGGAGACCATGATATTGAAAGAGATGTAATCAGTCTAGATGAGGGTAACAATTTTAGTCTCCTCTGTAGATTGTAATAATTAACTGACTTTACTTTCGGACTTGCTCTAGTGTCTACCATCGTCAAGTGATCCGATCACGGCCAGCTTGAGTCCCACACTCGTGAAAGAGGACTATCATGAAGGTCTCCTCGGATTAGCTCGACA